TAGTTTCATTGATCTTTTCTATTTATCTTTTTAGTCTCTATTTCATCTATTTCTGCTCTAATCTTTCTTATTTCCTTCCTTCTACTAACTTTTCATTTGTTCCCTTTTCTTGAGTTGTAAACTTAGGTTATTTCATGTTTTTGTTTTTTAATGTAGGGATTTATTGCTATAAATGTCTTTCTAAGAACTGTTTTGCTGCATCCCATAAGTTTTGGTATGCTGTATTTTCATTTGTTCAAAGCGATTTTTTTTTCTTTTTAGGTTTCTCCTTTGACTCGTTGTTTGCTCAGTAGCATGTTGTTTAATCTCTGCATACATACATTTTCCAGTTTTTTTCTAGTAATTAATTTCTAGTTTCATACTACTATGGTCATAAAATATGTTTGACATGATTTCAGTCTTTTTAAACTTCTTAAGGCTTGTTTTGTGACCTAACATATAATCTATCCTGGAGAATGTTTTATATGTGTGTTAGAAGAATGTGCATTCTGTTACTTTTGAGTAGAATGTTCTGTATATATCTATTAAGTAAAATGTCATTAAAGGCCAATATATTCATTGATTTTTCTGTCTGAATGATCTACCTATTGATGAAAGTTTGGTATTAAAGTCCTCTACTATTACTGTACTGCTGCCTGTTCCTACCTTTACTTGTTACTATTCACTTTACATATGTAGGTGCTCCAATGTCAGCTGCATAAATATTTACAAATGTTATATTCTCTTGTTGGACTGACCCATTTATCTTTATCTTTGTCTCTTACTACAGTCTTTGTCTGAAAGTCTATTTTGTCTAATTTTGTTTATACTTTTAAAAAATCCAGCTCTTGGTAGCTAGAATTATCATGTATATAAATGTTGAATCACTGTGTTGTACACCTGAAACTAATGTCATACTGTGTCAACTACCCTTCAATAAAAAATAATTATCTACAAAAGAAAAAATCCAGTTCTTAGTTTCATTGATCTTCAATTTTGTTTATATTTTTAAAAAATCCTGCTCTTAGTTTCATTGATCTTTTCTATTTATCTTTTTAGTCTCTATTTCATCTATTTCTGCTCTAATCTTTCTTATTTCCTTCCTTCTACTAACTTTTCATTTGTTCCCTTTTCTTGAGTTGTAAACTTAGGTTATTTCATGTTTTTGTTTTTTAATGTAGGGATTTATTGCTATAAATGTCTTTCTAAGAACTGTTTTGCTGCATCCCATAAGTTTTGGTATGCTGTATTTTCATTTGTTCAAAGCGATTTTTTTTTCTTTTTAGGTTTCTCCTTTGACTCGTTGTTTGCTCAGTAGCATGTTGTTTAATCTCTGCATACATACATTTTCCAGTTTTTTTCTAGTAATTAATTTCTAGTTTCATACTACTATGGTCATAAAATATGTTTGACATGATTTCAGTCTTTTTAAACTTCTTAAGGCTTGTTTTGTGACCTAACATATAATCTATCCTGGAGAATGTTTTATATGTGTGTTAGAAGAATGTGCATTCTGTTACTTTTGAGTAGAATGTTCTGTATATATCTATTAAGTAAAATGTCATTAAAGGCCAATATATTCATTGATTTTTCTGTCTGAATGATCTACCTATTGATGAAAGTTTGGTATTAAAGTCCTCTACTATTACTGTACTGCTGCCTGTTCCTACCTTTGTTACTATTCACTTTACATATGTAGGTGCTCCAATGTCAGCTGCATAAATATTTACAAATGTTATATTCTCTTGTTGGACTGACCCATTTATCTTTATCTTTGTCTCTTACTACAGTCTTTGTCTGAAAGTCTATTTTGTCTGACATAATTATATCTACCCCAGCTTCCTTTTGGTTTCCATTTGCATGGAGTATTTTTTCCATCCCTTTAGTGTGAGTGTATGTGTATCTAAACATCAGAAGTGAATATCTTGTAAGCAGCATATAGAAGGGTCTTGCTTTTTAAAAATTCATTCAGCCCTCTATGTCTTTTGATTGGAAAATTCAGTTCATCTACATTTAAAGTAATTAATGGTATGTACTTATGATTGCCATTTTGTTGTTTTTGGCTGTTTTGTAATTCCTTTTTGTTCCTTTCTTCTCTGGCTCTCTTTCTTTGTGATTTGATGACTTCCAAGTGGTATGCTTATGTTCCTTTTCTTTTTCTTTTGTGTATCTATTATAGGTTTTTTGCTTTGTGGTTGTCATGAGGCTTGCATAAAACAATTATATTTATAATACTCTATCTTAATGTGATAATTTCAGTTTGAATTCATTATACTGTTACCTTTTAATCCTTCCAAACTTTTGTTTTGATATCACAATTTTTTCTCTTCTGTATCAACAAATTATTGTAGTTACAGTTACTTTTACTAGTTTTGTCTTTTAACCTTCATACTAGTTTTATTAAGTGATGTAACCACCACCTTTACAACATTAACTAAATCTGAATTTTGCTACATATTTACTTTTACCAGTGAGGTTTATACTCTCATGTTTTCCTGTTACTGATTAGCACCCTTTTATTTCAACAAGTCTGCTGGGTAGAATATTCTTTTTATGGGGAACTCTCTTGGCTTCCTGGATCTGGAAGTTTCCTTTCTCAGGTTAGTGAAGTTTTTAGCCACATTTCTTCAGATAAGTTTTCTGCCCCATCTCTCTTCTTCTAAGACCCCTATAATGCGAATGTTGGTCTGCCTGATGTTACCTGTTAAGTCCCTTAAAGCTATCTTAACTCTTTTTCATTCTTTTTTCTTTTTGCTCCTCTGATTGGGTGAGTTTCCACTGTCCTGACTGCCAAGGTCACTGATTCTTTCTTCTGTTTCATTTAGTCTGCTGTTGGGCTCCTTTTTTTTTTTCAGTTTAATTATTGTATTCTTTATCTCTGTGACTTCTATCTAGTACTTTCTTACATTTTTTATGTCACTGTTGAAATTTTCATTTTGTTCATCCATTCTCCTGATTTTGGTGAGCATCTTTATAATCATTATTTTGAACTCCATCAGGTGTCTTTCTGAGGGTTTACTCTTTGGCTTGGAATATATCCTTGCATTTCTTAATTTTCCTTAACTGTGTTATTTTCCATGCATAGATCAAACAGCCACCTCTCCGTCTTGAAGCAGAAGCCTTGTGTAGGAGATGAACTTTATTGTTTAATATGGCCCTACTTCTTGGTTGACTCTCAAACCTCTGTGATTATACGAGCAGTCTACTTTATTTTTAGTGGCTCCCAATAGTTGAGGATATTCCAAGACCTGTTAGTGTCACAAATGGAGGATCTTAGCACCTATATTTAGGCTGATTGGAAGCCAGACCCTCAGGCAGAAGCTTATAAAATATGAGGGAAGACTGGGTCTGTCTGTTCCTTCTGTACTGAGCCCTGGGATGATAGCCAGTTAAAAACTGTCCTGTTGAACCTGTGAACATAAGCCCCATTGGCCACCAGAGTCAGGCTATAAATGGATGAGTCCTCTGGGCAGCAATCACAAACCTAGGCACCAGGTGAATACACAAGCTTCTTTCTCAGAGACACCTACTATCTGGAGTGAGGCAGAGAGAGACTGCAAAAATGGCACCTGATGGTCTCTATCCAGAGAGCACTTAAGTAGGCTCCTAGATGTGCACCAAACAAGATGACTTCCCCTCAGGCTGAAGCTTTAAAACAAGCGTATAGCCTCCTTTCACAGAAAGACTGGGGGCTCAGTCTTTGCCTTTCTGCTGTGCCCTGGAGGTGGTGGCTGGTTAATAACTGTCGGTTTGCTGCAGTCCTGTGGGACCAACAAGCATAAGCCCTGCTGGCCACTAAAGCCAGGCAATGTAGAGCTCCCGTATGTAATAGCCACAGAAGTCAGGGTGCTAGAGTGCACAACCTTTTTGGGAGAAACCAGTGAGCTGGAGTGAGGCACAGGAAAGCACAAAAATGGTGCCCACTGGTCTGTTTTTGGAGAGTATCTCAGTGGGAACCTATGTGTGTTTTAAATTAGGTGACTTATTCTCAGGCCACTGCCTGAAGATAAGCATGTAAGCCTCTTTCACAGAGTGTGGGCACTTCTCAGCTGCATCTGTACTGGGCCCTATAGTAGCTAAGGACATGTGAGCTCTTTAGGAACTCTTCCTCTGATAGCTACAGCCTGTGGGGCTCAAAATCAGATGCTTTGGAGGCTTGTCTTGCAGGTACAGGTCTTAAAATGTGGGGTGGCAGCTGTAGGGTACATTCTTTCCTCCTCAGGAAGAAGCTTAAAGAGTTGCAAATCCCCTCCTGATTGTGGGTGGTTATACCATGGATGGCATTTACAGAAAAATTGTGAATCAGCCTCTTTCTTCAGTGTGGGTTTTCTTGTTTACCTGGTGTGTAGGAGTCACTTAGCTAGTTTTGGGGTTTTCCTCAGATGAAATTGTTCTATATGTAGCTGCTGATTCATGTGTATGTGAACTGGAACCCACACATCTTTTCATATAAGTTGACATTCAGACAGTGGCTCTTCTTTCTGAGGCTTAAAAGCATCATTGACAAAATATTATATACCTTAATTTTTACCCAACTAGGTGACAATGAATTATGTGATATATTCTGCTAATGCCACATACTTTCTAGTTAATAAAGCCCTAAAATCCTAATGTAGCCATGCATAGGGTAGGTAAAATAACCTAGTTACTGATCAGAATAAAGAAAAGTGACAGGTCAAACTTTTCAACATATTAAATCACTATTTGGTTAATTATTTGTGAAATAGTTTTCTGTTAAATAAATTTTTGTGAAATATTTACCAGCTATTCTAAGCAAGCACAATCCATTACTAAATGGTGAGCACAACTGCCTAAAAAGTTGAACAGACTCAATGACATAAGCATGTGTTAACTCTATCATTTTATTTACTTTGGATTATAGACATATTCTTGCCCCTTCTCTACCTAGACAGCTCCTTACTATCAGCAGTGGAGTCTAGTTGTGCAATCATGGCAAATGGACAAAGTTATGAGACAGAAGACCTTTAACTGTACTAGCAAATAATGTATAGACTGGAAGGTGTTTTTAGGAATACTGGTTTAATCGAGACTTTAATTATGGTCCAAGAGCTATTACAAAAAATTCAGTGAAAAAATTTGCTTTAGAACTTTATGGGCATATGATTAGTGATACAGAATGTTTGAATTTTTAAAAAATTATGAGACTTAATGGTACATTCCCACTGGGAATATAAATCTCTAAATATCATGACAAAACACACAAAAAGGAGCAGTTCTAAAATTTTCTTTCACAACATAACAAAAAGATTCAAAATTAAAAGGCAACAGGTTTGGCTATATGGAAAATTTAAACTACATAGTTTTCATTCTGGAAATAAAAAACTTGTGAAATATTCCTGAAGTCAGTGGATGAAACAGGAAAACCATTATTTTACCATTATATATACCACAATTGTGGGAACTAGGATTAGAAGTTCTAGGACTTTAAATCTCTATGCTATAGAGAATGAAATAGTTTTCTAAAGGGTATTCATTCTCCAGGGTCTTTCTCTTTTATTTAAAACATGTACCAATTGGAAAAGGTAATGGATAACAGGAAAATCTGATTACAATCTTTTGTTTTTTTGCTGCTTGCAACTTTTTTATACATGCTTTCAAAGTCATTTGAAAAATAAGACCATTTCCTTTGCTGGGAACGTTATCTTGTAAAAATAAAGTGCACAACAAATGTTTCTTGAAATGAGAAGAAACTACACCAGTAATATTATGATATTTTTAGATAAGACAATACAAAACTACTGAGACAGGTAACATAGGATTATAGTTTGAACAAAAACCTGTAAGAGGTAATGATCTAATTACAATTTTGATTGGTTTATCATTGCCCACAAATTCTGCAGCTTGGCGTCCATTTCGGATCCTAGGAGTCGACTTTATGAGTAAAATGTTTACATACAGAATAAAGCAGATATGTTTTAATTTTTAAAAAGTAAATTGTTACATGTATTATAGTCTAGAGAGAGAGTTTACTGTAATCAAAGGTTGTAGCTCTGAAAAATACGGTAGGATTTTAAAGCTCAGATTACATTGGTTTGTTAACTCTTGGTTTCAAGTATTACTGAGCTATATAGCTAGAACACATCCTCAGTTCTATTCACAATATTTACAGCTATCCAATAATAACTTGAGCAGTAAAATATTTGAAGTATGAAATATGCAATGTTGATGACAAATGTTTCAGAACATCAAGAATAAGATTAAAAAAGAGCAAAGTAAATCTAGAACAAGGGAAGGTATTTATTAAAAGTAAAAATTGTAGACAGTCTTTGATAGCAAGCAAAACCACTTATAAATCAAATACATCCAATAAGCATTGTAACAATGCACACATATTTAAGAAAAACCAAAGACACATTAAGTAATTATTGCAGAACTTTAGAAAAAAAGATTATGTTGGTTCTGTCTTGTTGGAGGTCTGCCTCTGAACACACAAGCACACAGGACAAGCACCCCCCTGAGGGTTCTGAACAGCACAGTGTGTGCATTCATTCTGTGAACACACTGTTTCTGGATGAAATCACAGTTTCTGTACGGATGACCCAGAACATATGTCAGTGGCTCCATTTCATAAAAAATATACATAGGCTGAAAAAGCAGTAGCAACTGTTTTCCAAAATCTTCAGTTTTAACAAAAGGTACACAGTAAACTACTAAATCTAGATGTGTTCACATTATTTTGTGTATCAAGTACTATGTAAAAATCCACGTAAAATCTTAAATTAGCCAAAACTAGTGTCTTTAAACTTTAGATCTAAGTTCTTCACTCTTTCAGCATGGCTGGAAAATCTTCTCTGCCTTTGTCACTATTATGCTTGTCAAACCAAAGAATCTGAAAAACAGTATGTACTCCTGAAGGATGACAGTACCAAGAGTGTCACTGAACTTCCGTCCTAAGACACGCACACCTCCTGTTGGATACTGGGCTGTGAGAGTTTATTATCTTCAGTCTTTTCATGTCCAGGAGCATGGCAAGTGGTCTTCCGCTTAAATAACCGAAGACTCAGTCGTAATAATTCACTGTCTACCACTGGAGCATTTGTGTAAGCTTGTTTTACAGAGCCCTATTTGAAGAAAACAAAAACAGAAGAGATGTACACTATTAGTTGAAAGGAAAGACAGGCAGGTTAACCTTTAATGAAAAGTAATAAACTTATTAAAAAATTAATTTCAGACAAATATTAAATTAGCTGAATTGGACATTTAAAAGCAAAATTAGGAAATGTTTTTATACTCAAGGAATCTTAGAAGGTAACCTTTAGAGGATGTGTTTTTACATGTAGTTCTCTCATTTTACTCATGTGTAGACTCATGTCACCATGACCACAGTTGGGATAGAGAAGCTTCATCAACCAAAAAATTCCTTTTGCTGTCCCTCTGCATTCACTCTCTCCTCCCAGCTCTAACCCCTGGCAACCAATGAAATGTTCTCTGTTACAATTTTGTCTTTTCCAGAACATCATATAAAAGAAATCACACAAAACATAATCTTTTGAGATTAGTGTCTTTTACTCAGCACATGTCTTTGAGATTCATCCATGTTGGTGACCAACATGTTCGGTTATTTTTTTAAAAAATTTTTTATTAAGGTATAATTGACATATACTCTTATGAAGGTCACACATGAAAAAACAATGTGGTTACTACATTTACCCATATTATCCAGTCTGCACCCATACCCCAATGCAGTCACTGTCCATCAGGGTAGTAAGATGCCACAGATCCACTATGTGCCTTCTCTGTGCTACACTGTTCTCCCCATGATCTCCCACACCATGTGTACTAAACATAATACCCCTCAGTCCCCTTCTCTCTCCCTCCCCACCCACCCTCCCACACCCCTCCCCTTTGATAACCACCAGTTCATTCTTGGAGTCTCTGAGTCTGCTGCTATTTTGTTCCCTCAGTTCTGTTTCGTTGTTATACTCCACAAATGAGGGAAATCATTTGGCATTTGTCTTTCTCCGCCTGGCTTATTTCACTAAGCATAATGTCTTCCAGCTTCATCCATGTTGTTGCAAATGTTTCTTTCTTATGGCCGAATAGTATTCCATTCTGTACATGTACCACATCTTCTTTATCCATTCATCTACTGATGGATACTTAGGTTGCTTCCATATCTTGGCCATTGTAAAAAGTGCTGTGATAAACACAGGGGTGCATATGTCCTATGGAACCTGAGAAGTTGTATTCTTTGGGTAAGTTCCAAGGAGTGGGATTAGCCGGTCAAATGGTATTTCTATTTTTAGTGTTTTGAGGAACCTCCATACTGCTTTCCACAAAGGTTGAACCAATTTACATTCCCACCAGCAGTGTAGGAGGGTTCCCCTTTCTCCGCATCCTTGCCAGCATTTGTTGTTAGTCTTTTCGATGCTGGCCATCCTTACTGGTGTGAGGTGATATCTCATTGTGGTTTTAATTTGCATTTCCCTGATAATTAGTGATGTGGAGCACCTTTTCATGTGCCTGTTGGCCATCTGAATTCTTCTTTGGAGAACTGTGTCTTCATATCCTCTGCCCATTTTTTAATCGGGTTATTTGCTTTTTGGGTGTTGAGGCGTCTAAGTTCTTTATACATTTTGGATGTTAACCCCTTGTCGGATATGTCATTTACAAATATATTCTCCCATACTGTAGGATGCCTTTTGTTCTGTTGATGGTGTCATTTGTGGACAGAAACTTTTTAGTTTGATGTAGTCCCATGAGTTCATTTTTGCTTTTGTTTCCCTTGCTCGAGGAGATGTGTTCAGGAAGAAGTTGCTCATGTCTATATTTAGGAGATTTTTGCCTATGTTGTCTTCTAAGAGTTTTATGGTTTCATGACTTACATTCAAGTCTTTGATCCATTTCGATTTTACTTTTGTGTATGGGGTTAAACAATAATCCAGTTTCATTCTCTTGCATGTAGCTGTCCAGTTTTGCCAACAACAGCTGTTGAAGAGGCTGTCATTTCCCCACTGTATGTCCATGATTCCTTTATCATATATGAATTGACCATATATGGTTGGGTTTATATCTGGGCTCTCTAGTCTCTTCCATTGGTCTATGGGTCTGTTCTTGTGCCAGTACCAAATTGTCTTGATCACTGTGGCTCTGTAGTAGAACTTGAAGTTGGGGAGCATAATGCCCCCAGCTTCATTCTTCCTTCTCAGAATTGCTTTGGTTATTCAAAGTCTTTTGTGGTTCCATACGAATTTTAGAACTATTTCCTCTTGTTTGTTGAAGAATGCTGTTGGTATTTTGATAGGAATTGGATTGAATCTGTAGATTGTTTTAGGCAGGATGGCCATTCTGACAATATTAATTCTTCCTATCCATGAGCACAGGATGTATTTCCATTTATTGGTATCTTCCTTAATTTCTCTCACAAGTGTCTTGTAGTTTTCAGAGTATAGGTCTTTCACTTCCTTGGTTAGGTTTATTCCAAGGTATTTTATTCTTTTTGATACAACTGTGAATGGAATGGCTTTCCTGATTTCTCTCTCTGCTAGTTCATTGTTAATGTATAGGAATGCTACAGATTTCTGTGTATTAATTTTCTATCCTGCAACTTTGCTGAATTCAGATATTAGATGTAGTAGTTTTGGAATGGATTATTTAGGGTTTTTATATACACTATCATGTCATCTGCAAAGAGGGGCAGTTTAACCTCTTCCTTGCCAATCTGGATGCCTTTTGTTTCTTTGTGTTGTCTGATTGCTGCAGCTAGGACTTCGAGAACTATGTTGAATAGAACTGGGGAGAGTGGGCATCCTTGTCTTGTTCATGGTCTTAAAGGAAAACCTTTCAGCTTCTCGCTGTTCAGTATAATGTTGGCTTTGGGTTTGTAATATATGGCCTTTATTATGTTGAGGTACTTGCCCTCTATACACATTTTGTTGAGTTTTTATCAGGAAAGGATGTTGAATTTTGTCAAATGCTTCTTTAGCATCTATGGAGATGATCATGTGGTTTTTGTCCTCCTTTTTATGTAGTGGATGATGTTGATGGATTTTTGAATGTTGTACCATCCTTGCATCCCTGGAATAAATCCTACTTGATCATGATGGATAATCTTTTTGATGTATTTTTGAATTTGGTTTGGCAATATTTTGCTGAGTATTTTTGCATCTATGTGCATCAGGGATATTGGTCTGTAATTTTCTTTTTTTTGTGGTGTATTTGCCTGGTATTGGTATTAGAGTGATGCTGGCTTCATAGAATGCGTTTGGAAAACTTCTACTCTTTGCAAAACTTTAAGGAGGATGGGTATTAGGTCTTCACTAAATGTCTGATAAAATTCAGTGGTGAAGCCATCTGGTCCAGGTGTTTGACTTAGGTAGTATTTTGATTACCAATTCAATTTCCTTGCTGGTAACTGGTCTGTTCAGACTTTGTGTCTTTCTGGGTCAGCCACGGAAGGTTGTAGGTTTCTAGAAAGTTGTCCATTTCTTTTAGGTTATCCAGTTGGTTGGCATATAATTTTTCATACTATTCTCTAATAATTCTTTTAATTTCTGTGGTGTCCATAGTGATTTTTCCTTTCTCATTTCTGATTCTGTTTATGTGTATACACTCTTTTTTTCTTGGTAAGTCTGGCTAGGGGTTAATCTATTTTGTTTATTTTCTTGAAGCAGCAGCTCTTGCTTTCATTGATTCTTTCTATTGCTTTATTCTCGATTTTATTTACTTATGCTCTAATCTTTACTATGTCCCTCCTACTGACTTTGGGCCTCATTTGTTCTTCTTTATCTAGTTTCATTAATTGTCAGTTAGGATTGCTTATATGGGATTGTTCTTCTTTCCTGAGGTAGGCCTGTATTGCAATATACTTTCCTATTAGCATGGCTTTGGCTGTGTTCCACAGATTTTGTGGTGTTGAATTATTGTTGTCATTTGTCTCCATATATTGCTTGATCTCTGTTTCTATTTGGTCATTGATCCATTGGTTTTTTAGGAGCATGTTTTCATTTTCTTTGCATAACTTATTTCTAGTTTCATACCTTTGTGGTTTGAGAAACTGGTTGGTACAATTTCAATCTTTCTGAATTTACTGAGGCTCTCTTTGTGGCCTAGTATATGATCTATTCTTGAAAATGTTCCATGTGCACTTGAGAAGAATGTGTATGCTGCTGCTTTTGTGTGTAGAGTTCTGTAGATATGTTAGGTCCATCTGTTCTAATCTGCTGTTCAGTGCCTCTCTGTCCTTACTTATTTTCTGTCTGGTGGATCTGTCCTTCAGAGTGAGTGGAGTGTTGAAGTCTCCTAGAATGAATGCATTACACTCTATTTCCCTTTTGAATTCAGTTGGTATTTGTTTCACATATATAGGTGCTCCTATGTTGGGAGCATAGATATTTATCATGGTTATATCTTCTTGTTGGATTGACCCCCCTTTTCATTATGTAATGTCCTTCTTTGTCTCTTGTGACTGACTTTATTTTGTCCCAGAGCAGTCGGATACGGATCCCTGCTTTCCACAAGTGGTTAGAATCTCAGTCTCTCCAGGAATTCTGCCTGTCTTAGCTTTCCAATCACCTAATCATGGGAGTATCATGAAAGCACCATGAAATGTAGGCTTGTGCTCCCAGAGCAGATCTCCAGAGTTAGGTATTCAGCAGTCCCAGGCCTCCAATCCTTCCCCACTCCATTTCTCTTCCTGTGCCAGTGAGCTGGGTGGAGGAAGTGGTTGGGTCCTGCCAGGCCACTGCTTTGGTACATTACCCTGTTCTGTGACGTCTGCTCTTTTCTCCAGGTGTATGTAGTCTGGCACAGTCCTCTTTCCTGTTGCTGTTTCAGGATTAGTTGAATTATATTTTTGTATTATATGAGGTTTTAGGAGGAAGCCTCTGTCTCACCTTTCATGCCGCCATCTTTTGTGTTCATTTATTTTTTATTACTGATTAATAACCCATTATATGGATGTGCCACAGCTTACCTCTTAGTCAGCTGAAGAACACTGGGATTGTTTCCAGTTTTATAAACTTTTGTGGACAGGTTTTTATATGAACACGTTTCACCTCTCTAGCAATAGAACTGCATTGTATAGTAAGTATACATTTAACTTTATTAAGAAATAAACTTTTCCAAAGTGGCTCTACTATTTTGCATCAGCAGTATATGGTACTTTGAATTGCTCTGCATCCTCACCAACACTTGATATACTGATAACCTCAGGGTTTTTTGGGCTGTCTTTTAGCTATTGTAGTAAGTTGTTATTGGTATGTCATTGTGGTCTTAATTTGCATTCTCTAATGGCTAATTACGTCAAACATCTTTTCATATGCTTACTAGTCAGCCACATAACTCTTTGGTGGACTGTTTATGCAAGTCTTTTGCCCATTAAAAAAGATCAGTTGATTGTTTTCTTAATTTTTGAGTTAAAAAAAATATATTGATATGTGTTCTTCTTTGAAAATGTTTTGCAAATATTTTCTTCCAGTATACACTTCTTTCCACTCCCAGTCTCTTCCACAGAACAAGTTTTAAATTTTGATCAATTATCTCAAAATAAAAAGTTTAATAAAAAAATAGCAACTGTATGTTTACTGTTACACTAGGTCCTAAAAATGGGTAGTTTGAGCCCTCCAACTTTGTGTTTTCAAAAAATTATTCTGGTTATTAGCTTCTTTGACTTTCCCTATAAATTTTAGAATTAGCTCGTTTGTATTTACAAAAAACCCTATTGGATTTTACTAAAACTGTTCAAATCTGTATGTCAATTTGGAGAGAATTATGACCTTAACTATACTGAGTTTTCTAATCCATGAACACTGTATGTTTTCTATTTATTCAGGTCTTTTGATTTTTTCATTAGTGTTTTGTAGTTTTCAGCACATAGATCCTGTACAGGTTTTGTTAGATTTATACCTAAGTACTTCCTTTCTGGGGGAACCACTGTAAGGTATTTTTTTTTTGTTAACATTTTGATTCTCAGGTGCTTCTATATACTACACAGTATATGCAAATACAATTGCTCTTTGTATGCTGACTTTGTATCCTATGGTCTTGTTGAATTTACTTTTAAGTTCTACCAGTATTTTTGGTAAATTCCTTGAAGCCTTTTATGTACGTAAACGTGTTCACTGTGAATAAACACAATTTTACTTTTTCCTTTCCAATCTGTATTGTCCTTCTCTTTCTTTTTCTTGCCTTACTGAATTACCGTATTTAACCCCCAGTAAAATGCTGAATAGGGGTAGTTAAGAGTAGACATCCTTGCCTTGTTACTGATCTCTGGGGGAAAGCTTGCAAATTTTCTACAGTTAAGTATGATGTTAACTATAGGTTTTGGTAGACACCCTTTATAAAAGTAAAGACTCTAATTCCAGTTTGTTCAGAATTTTTATTGTAAAGGGATGCTCAATTTTGTCAGATGTTTTCTATCAATTTATATGATATGTATTTTTTCTTTTTTAGTCTGTTAACATGCAGATTAAGTTGAATATTTAGATTAAACCAGACTGTCATTCTGAGGATAAACTATACTTGTAGTGTAGAATTCTTTTATATATTACTAGATTTGATTCCTATGATTTTTGAGGATTTTTATGTCCATGTTCATGAGATACTGATCTGCAGTTTCTTGTGATGCCTTTGACTGGATTTGATATGAGACTATTGCTGACCTCATATAATGACTTAGGAAGTTTTCCTGCCTCTTAAATTTTCTGTAAGAAACAATGTAGAATTGGTATTATTTTTTTCCTTAAATGTTTGAGAGATTTTGCCACTGAAACCATCTGGGACTGGAGATTTCTTTTTCAGAAGGTTTTTAACTGGAGATTCAACTAATCTGAATAGTCCTGTCTGTTTCATCTACTACTTGAGTAAGTTTGGGCAGTTTGTGGCTTTTAGAGGAATTGCCATTTCTTCTAAACAGTCATATTTGTGTTCACAGAGTTGTATACAGTATTATTATCCTTTTAATATCTGAGACCCACAGTGATACTGTTTCTCTGATTCTTGTTATTGGTAATTCGTTTTTTTTCTTTATCAATTTTATTAATCTCTTGAAAGAACTAGCTTTTGGTTTCATTAATTTCTCTAATGCTTTTCTATTTAACTGATTTCCGGTATTTTTATTTCTTTCCTTCTGATTGCTAGCTATAGGTTCTGTACAGCTTTAATATTATAATACTGAAATGAGATTTAAACTCATTTAAACCAGCTAAGTACTCTCTTAGTATCATGCATCTATCTCTTCTGATAATGTACTATAATTTATATAACTAAAAAACAATCATTCTCCTAAGCACAGATGATGCTAATACACGGATTCAACAGTTTTCCTCACTTTCTTTTCATCACCTGGTAAGACATACCATACCACTCATCTCAATGAATGGTTCTATTCTATATTTTTCTTTTATAACCATATATAATTTAAAGGTTTTGTTTTTCTTAGCATTTTTCATGAGGCCATCTAACATCTAAAATTAATTTTTCTTTACTTATATCCCTTCTTTTCAGCTTTTGGGCTGATATTTTTAAAACTGAGCAATCAGAAAGCTTGCAATGATGTTCTTTAGATGGATCATTTAAGACATTTATAATATGCCATTATAACTTTTATAATGTGTCATGTGCTAGTTAATGGTCTGTGCCTTGTATTGAAGGATTATAAGGTTCTGACAATGATTCTCAATGAGAAGCTTGCAAGGATATTTTTGGTTGTCACTATTTTTGAAGGGTACTATAGCATATTAGAGAAGGAATCAGGGTATGTTACAAATTTATTTTTTACAAAAAGGGATGAAAATACAAAACATACAGTCTTTCTCAACTGAGGATCCTTACCTAAACCAAACAGAAAATAATCTGAGTAATTATTTTCAATTCAATATCAAGGATGGTAGTAACAGGCACCATTTTAAATACATAATAAAAATGTTATTTCATTACACAAATGTTTAAGACACTAGGGCTTAATTCTCTGAGAAATTTCCAATTGAGAAAGGTTGCAAGGAGAGATGAGCACCTAAGCAGTAGAATAAAGAGAATTAAGTACATATTGAAATGGGGGTGCAAATGAATGATTATAGCAACTCTGTCAAAGGTAATTCTGGGATGGGCCTTTAAGTAAGCAAGACTTTAAAAGTCTACTCCTCCTATGTTTCTGTTTTCATCTTTACAGACAAGTTCATCCTTTTTTTTCCATAAATTTAATTTCCTCCCCAAATCTGGGTATTCTTCCTTAATGAAGTATGTTTTTCTTTAGCAGTGTTTTCCTAAATGTCCCCAAGAAAAAAGCTAAAGTAAATGTTTCTCTGATTTTTTAGGACCAATTTTCTTTTGTCATACTACCCATGCCCCCACCAACCCCTATTTAAAAATCTCAGTTTATTAACTCTAAAAAGCCTAAAATGATTTTAATTTCTCTTGATCAGATTTCTTCTACATCTAAATTAATTTCTATTTATCTAACATTTCAATTCCCTTTATTCTCCTCAAGTAAATGCTTACATATACCTGTATTTATTTCCCTTTTTTCCAACTTTGGTATATTCTCATAAACAATATTCCTATAAATATCTTCACCACTCACTGGGAAATTTTTTTCCTTTATCTTCAATTTAAATAAATTTCTAGTATGTTTTATTATCAAGAGACTTTATGCATCAAATTTTGAATAACAAATTATTATTCAACACAAACGTTCATCAATACTACTAAAATGAAAGGTACTATAAATTCTAATAGAATTTCTCTCCTTCACATGTATAAAAGATTAGGAAACCAAACACAGGTAAATAGACAATGAGACCTTAATTTCACCTTAAAACAATCAAATGAAAATATGCCATTCATACTATTCAGTGAAACACTGCATTTTTTCTGAGGAAACAACAGTACCTTCTCATTTTTAACAAGCTGCTTTCGGATTGCTGAGTCCCGTCTGAAGCACAATGCTTTACAACAAGGTCCAAGATTACTAAGGAGACCCGCTCTTTCTTCTTTGCGGAGTAATGCAGCCATGTTGAGAGCTCCCAGTTCATGTTCAAAAAGACTGTCTCCATCTTTCAATAAAAATAGACATGCATTAAGTTTCCCTAAAATAACAGAGTGTTACCAACTGCTTAGGTGAATATTCCACAAAGTCTGTACTTTATCAAAGTTACCAACACTGGTAAAGGCAATATATTCTCCATCAAAGACTTTCAACATGCATTATGTTAGTAGTCCTGAACAAAAATAAATATTCTGATAACCACTTAATATGCAAGAAAAGCAGACTTGGGAGAGAGAATTTAGACAATGCTTACTGACTATGCCTAAGAAGAAAAGTTCAAGTTAAGAATTAGTGAGGTCAAATTCAGTACATTGCTTACTATCAACTAACTACTAATTAAATTCAGGACTTTATTACAGCAAGATTCAAATGTAGTAAAACTGACTACATTCTGTGACCTTTAAAATCATCAGGTAGGAAAGTGGTTAGGTATTAACAACTTGCAAATGTTAGCCTAGATTTGGTCACTATAAAAATCTCGGAAAATGTATTAAATTAAAATCACTTAGTTTTAAGTCATAACATGTAAGGTAAGGAGAGCACATTTAAACTTTATGAAAGAATTAAAGTAAGATTTAAAAAAAATAAAGAGGTTGAATTAAAAACAGATAAAATGGGATTCACAGTAACAGAACAAGCTGGTCAGTGATACAAAAAAATAGTAGCAGTGACTTCAAAGCTAGCATTCTAAGAGTTGGCTGAGAGTACTAAAGATACCAGGTACTGAGTCTATAACAACATGATCAAACAGTTTATTAGACACCACAAAGGAAAGCAATAAATCACATCTACGTAAAAATAAAATAGACACATTTGAGAATGAAAGGAACTGTATTACATATTTCATTTTCATTTTTTGAACTGCAAAGCATAAATAATGAGATTATGTAATTAGTAAGAAACTAATTTCATGTAATATACCTAGTCAATAGGTTATCTACCTAGTTAACAGGTATATAACACAAGAAAAATGTAAATATAAAGAAAAACTCAATACTAGTTCATAGCCTCTGGTGCCTACCAGATTCATCTAAGGGTTTTTTAAAAATACTGCCAAGGTTCTGTTACCATATCTGTATAATCTCCACAATACCTTAGTAGAAAAAAGGCAGTTCCTCAGGTGATTCAAAATACCAGTGTTCGAGCCAACCAATGACACAGTTATATATACATACTATTAAAAAACATCCCAAATTAACTACCATGCCATTATAGATGTAAATATAGAAGAGCTCTGCTTTGAGCCCATGCTCTTCCTTAAAAACTACTCATTAGGACACATTTTTTTTACTGGGATCCTTACCATTTTGTGCTTTGACAAAAGTAGAATACAAAACCTACTGCAGACCCCCCTAGAAAGTATAATATGGCTCAATTTTCAGTCTTTTCACGGTTTTGAACTGGCCAGCACCAAATTACTCAAGAAATAGACTAAACACATGTAAGTACACATAAAACAAAGGAACCAAAATAACTGTAAAAGTTTAGCTCAAAAGAATTTAATCACACTGCAATCAGAAAATCTAGACAAAGCAATTTAAATTTTAGTATACATGTAAGTTTCTTGTTTTAAGCCTTAGAATTAAAAAAAAATTATATATAGGGTGGGGATATACTTTTTCAGTATTGGGACACTGAAATAGACCAAAAGGAATAGAAATATCCAGTATTAATCATTTCAAAAATATTTCTTGAATGCCTACTACGTGTTAGGTACTGTTCTAGGCAATGGCGTAAGTAGTAAGAATAGATCATTTGACACTGGATCTAGCAGTAAACAAAACAAAGTCCTATTCCTTAGGAAACATATTCAGCATTGCATATCAGGTTCTCCAACACAGCTACCATAACAGCAAAAAAAATAGGAGAGGTCTGATTGGTAAGCAACAATTAAATCCCTATTTTATATTTTCATTATTTAGGTTATGTCATCATTAAGTCAGGGCCAAACTGTATTTCCCAGTTAGCAAAATCAAACTAGTTTTAACTTGAAATGCCATTACCAAGTCACAGAAGCAAAAAGCTTTAGAGGTGGATAAGACCTTAGTTAGAGGTTTGATGCCATTATTTTATACCCACAGGAGTTATTTGCCTGTGGTCACAGAGCCAACCAAACAAGGTAGAGTAGGGCAACAATCCAAGAGTTTGGTCATTTGTCTAGTTAATACACATTCACAATTATAGATTATATGTTTTATATACAAAATTCTGTGTTTATTGGGACATATTAAAATCAAGAGTTTTACTGCTTATACTAAACAGTTGAAAGACATGAAACTCATAAAACAATCTTTTTTCAATTTTATTTTAGTAAAAAGCCTAATTACTTTTCTTACTCTCATGAACGATAGATATAAAATTAGTGTTGTCGCTTTCGCCTTTTACCTCCTTTCCTTTGTTTTGCCACCTACTCATCCCCCCTCCCTATTACTAATATATCAATAAGCTGCCAAAACAAAAAGTAAGTACCAGATATACCAGAAATAGCAAAATAAAACTCTACAAAAACTAAAGTGTTCTGAAATAATTAAAAGTTGTTGCAATAAGGTCTAAAATCAAAGTGACAAAATACTTTAAATAGTAGCAGTTAATATTTATGTGTCACCCTATGTCAGGAACTGTTGTATTTTACTTACATAACTCATTTATTCCTCCTAACAATCTTATGAAGTTAGTGGTGTAATTATTCTTAGCTTTCATATGGTGACACTAACTCACAGAGATTGAGTAATAGCTAGTCAAGTGGTGTGCCTACTGGAATCCAGACCATCTGGTCTAGAGACAAAGCTCTCAGTACTTTTTTAATGGCTCATCCCAGACATCTGCATTTGGGTCGAATTCCCTGTTTCCCAGGGGATAAGGCTGCCAAGACACCCAATTTGCTTAGATATGAAAACATCTGGTCCACTTTCCCAGGCTCTGCTTTGTTTAGCCCTGGGCATACCACTGAACACTTTAACATTTGAACTTACCTGTTGAAAAGTAATTTTGATACAGAAAGGTCACTGTACTATTTCTGCAACTTTTCTATGGGCATCTTAATAGTTAAAGCAGCCATTATACAGTCAAGTGGAATGGAATTACCTTTAGGTTTTTCTAAAAGTCTCTGACATGTTTCTTTGACTTTGGTAAACAGTTCAGAACCTGCCAACTTTTTAGAAATCCCAACTCTCAGCAAAACAGCTCCAGGTGTGAATTTTAAGAGTGCAGCCCCAGGCTCTCGTGGTTCTTTTGGATGCTTTGGCATAAGGCCAGACCAGTCCACATCTATCACATCTAATGGATCTGTAAAAAGTTAACAGCAGTTTTTTTATACCAAGAAATAGCTTTTTTTGTGTTATCTATGTAAAAATACAAACTGTAAAATCAGAAAGCATTAAGTAACAAGTACTTTAAACCAAAAATATTCTCAAAATGAAAGCTTTTCTATGAAGACTAATACTTAGAATCTAAGGATCTTTACAAATAAAAGGCTCCTCCCCCAAAAGAAAATAGGCAAGCACACAAAACCCTAAGCAAATCCATTCCTATGAATAACTCATTTAAGTAGCTTGAGAGCAGCCCAATGAAAGTGCTCCATTATTTTAGTAAGATTAGGTCTGACATTTTGAAGCTTTTTACCATAATCCTTATAAGGGTTAAATCTAGGAGTATATTTAATTTGTATGCATGCACTGACACAAATATATTGTATTTTGAAAACAAATATTTCATTGTGAAATTAGTTTAAGAATCAGTTGCTATTATTAATACTGAGAACAAGTCATTAATATGACGAGGAACAGTTGAGAAAATTAACAAGACAATGTTCTATTTAGGAGTATCTCATAGCAGATAATAAAAAAGATAATGTACATACACACCTTCTATAGTAGTAGAAAAAAACTATGAAATATAAAAGCAAATTGTCAAAATATAAATGTAATACTTTACATGTGCAACAAAGGAAAGCCCTTCATTATGGTAAAAAAAAATAGTAACAGAAAGAATTGGATGATTCATCAGGAACATGTTCATGGTGTAGCCACTAGAATAAGCTCTAGCAGTGTACAAAATACTCTAAGTTACTGAATTTAGAAAAATCATGGAGGTATATAAATAGTGCTTCAAGATAATTTCAACTACTATAAACTTTTGAATGTTCATTTCAAAAGTTGGTTTGTGGCACCACAGCTGAGAAGTTCTGTACCATTTACCTACCATCTAGAACTCTGCTAGACAGTATTCAGTATTTGGTTACATTCTAGGTCATATACTATGAATCAAACTCTGAAATGGAAATCTTAGAATTTTACTATTTTAAATGAGGCCCTTTCCAATTCAAAGGCAACATCTACTTAAAAATAGATGTTACAACAATATAGACTGTAATTTTCATTTTACTGGCCTTTCAACCTTAAATAAAACATAAAGGGGAAAATTCTATCTTTGATAAATTCACACAGCTTGAGAAGAAAAAAGTAATACTTTAATACCATAAATTAGACAATTTTTATGTTCAACTACCTCTGCAAATTATTACCTGGCATCTTCTCCTCATCCTGTTGGTCTTCCCTCTTCTCAGCATCACCTGCCAGAATTTCATCTAGTTCATCATCACTGATTGGCTCATATCCTTCTCCGGCACCAGATCCTAGTGAATGTGCATCATCTAACTTGGATTCATCATCTCCTGCTAAATAGAAAAATTAATTTTGTGTCAAAGAGAGCATTAAGGGGAAGGGATGTCCAAGTGAAACCAAAGAGGGAGGCTGTGCACACTAAACAATCTGAAAGAGCATTTTTAAATCAGTAAACTACATTTCTTAATCATTCAAAACACTTAATAATTTCAAATGAAAACTTAAAAATAAAGTTCAGTTAGTTAAATATAGTTTTAATGGCAAGAATACAATATGAACAGCAATATCAAAATAGATTGTAAGATTACAATTAAAATGAGAAATAAAAGCTACCATTAACATATTAATGTTGATTGTTATTTTTATAATAAAACTTTAAGTCCAAATTTAGCAATTTCAAAAAGATGCAGTAATTTCTTCACCTAAATAAACTCACTAATTAAAAAAAAACTTACTAGCAAAATTTATTTGAAATTTAAATCTTAGTTCATAATATTTAGCTCATGATATGAAGAACTTTCTAGCAGTGAGGTTAAAATGTGTCATCAATTCTCTCCCATCTCCAGTTCAACTTTTCTATTTCAATGCAATTTTTACCAGAATGCTGGAATACAATTTTAAAATATCTTTGCTGGCCCCAATAGCACATACTCTATTTCTTTACTTTCCCAACTCTTTTCAACCACCAAGGCTAAGCTCTGTCTGGTGAGTAGGTTGTGAGCTTATCCTTAAACTACAGAGTATGTCTAACATTTCTAATCACGAGTATTTTACACGCTTTACTGAGTTTCTGACACTAGTTCTCAAAATTTATCAGTATGCTTTATGGGTATAAATCTATAGCAAATATATATATAATAAACTTTGATATGCTTCTAATCATTTTAATAACTTTTTTGTTATATTAAATTCTATAATAATCTACCCAAACTCCCACCATTCACTTCTAAGGTAACCAATTGTAATAACTTCATTACATAAACATACATCTAAACTTAAATGCAGATAATGGATAATAAATTTTTCAAATTTATCCAACTCATTTTCCTACTTCAGGTGAGTAAAATTTTTTATTTCACAGCAGATAATTTACCTATAAATTTCTATGTTATGTTATCTGTGATCACAACCAGTAAATTATATATTTTAGGGATGAGGGGCACTGACTCTCATCACAAGGGAGCTATTATAATGATTAATTTAATTATATTGAATTATACCCCAAGGTTAGTACTATGGCTCATGATTTGGGTTATTTATACTCAAACCTGAGATGAAAATGTATGTGAAGAACAATGAGGTAGAAACGTTTTTTGTTGAGTAGAAAAAATATATATACCGATGGCATATTGGAATATATATCAGATAACCAAAACATGTAAGGATGTCTGTAATTTTAAAGGAATGTAAATTTTACTCTGGGCTCAATGGTACATTACAGCAAATAAAAAGAGTAATAAAATATTACTGCTTATATAAAAGTACCCAAGAAGTTTCCTGGATGCATGAAATGGAGAGGAGGTTTTTGTCAGAACAATGGTGTAAGCAATGGTACCAGAACAGGACAGTCAGAATTTTCAGAGAATTCTCAGGAGAGTCATCAGTATTGTGAACGTAGGCTATAATATACCAAAGAATAAGATGTGGGGCATGTATGTACAGGTAGAACATATTTTCATTTGTTAGGTATTTATGGTGTCCTTTCTGTAGTTTTGATAAAGAAATGAAAAGGTCCCTAACAAAGGGGTTGAGTACAGCGAGGAGAAAACAATGGAAAAATAATTAATACAAACTGTAAAATCAGAAAGCATTAAGTAACAAGTACTTTAAACCAAAAATATTCTCAAAATGAAAGCTTTTCTATGAAGACTAATACTTAGAATCTAAGGATCTTTACAAATAAAAGGCTCCTCCCCCAAAAGAAAATAGGCAAGCACACAAAACCCTAAGCAAATCCATTCCTATGAATAACTCATTTAAGTAGCTTGAGAGCAGCCCAATGAAAGTGCTCCATTATTTTAGTAAGATTAGGTCTGACATTTTGAAGCTTTTTACCATAATCCTTATAAGGGTTAAATCTAGGAGTATATTTAATTTGTATGCATGCACTGACACAAATATATTGTATTTTAAAAACAAATATTTCATTGTGAAATTAGTTTAAGAATCAGTTGCTATTATTAATACTGAGAACAAGTCATTAATACTGACAAGGAACAGTTGAGAAAATTAACAAGACAATGTTCTATTTAGGAGTATCTCATAGCAGATAATAAAAAAGATAATGTACATACACACCTTCTATAGTAGTAGAAAAAAACTATGAAATATAAAAGCAAATTGTCAAAATATAAATGTAATACTTTACATGTGCAACAAAGGAAAGCCCTTCATTATGGTAAAAAAAAATAGTAACAGAAAGAATTGGATGATTCATCAGGAACATGTTCATGGTGTAGCCACTAGAATAAGCTCTAGCAGTGTACAAAATACTCTAAGTTACTGAATTTAGAAAAATCATGGAGGTATATAAATAGTGCTTCAAGATAATTTCAACTACTATAAACTTTTGAATGTTCATTTCAAAAGTTGGTTTGTGGCACCACAGCTGAGAAGTTCTGTACCATTTACCTACCATCTAGAACTCTGCTAGACAGTATTCAGTATTTGGTTACATTCTAGGTCATATACTATGAATCAAACTCTGAAATGGAAATCTTAGAATTTTACTATTTTAAATGAGGCCCTTTCCAATTCAAAGGCAACATCTACTTAAAAATAGATGTTACAACAATATAGACTGTAATTTTCATTTTACTGGCCTTTCAACCTTAAATAAAACATAAAGGGGAAAATTCTATCTTTGATAAATTCACACAGCTTGAGAAGAAAAAAGTAATACTTTAATACCATAAATTAGACAATTTTTATGTTCAACGACCTCTGCAAATTATTACCTGGCATCTTCTCCTCATCCTGTTGGTCTTCCCTCTTCTCAGCATCACCTGCCAGAATTTCATCTAGTTCATCATCACTGATTGGCTCATATCCTTCTCCGGCACCAGATCCTAGTGAATGTGCATCATCTAACTTGGATTCATCATCTCCTGCTAAATAGAAAAATTAATTTTGTGTCAAAGAGAGCATTAAGGGGAAGGGATGTCCAAGTGAAACCAAAGAGGGAGGCTGTGCACACTAAACAATCTGAAAGAGCATTTTTAAATCAGTAAACTACATTTCTTAATCATTCAAAACACTTAATAATTTCAAATGAAAACTTAAAAATAAAGTTCAGTTAGTTAAATATAGTTTTAATGGCAAGAATACAATATGAACAGCAATATCAAAATAGATTGTAAGATTACAATTAAAATGAGAAATAAAAGCTACCATTAACATATTAATGTTGATTGTTATTTTTATAATAAAACTTTAAGTCCAAATTTAGCAATTTCAAAAAGATGCAGTAATTTCTTCACCTAAATAAACTCACTAATTAAAAAAAAACTTACTAGCAAAATTTATTTGAAATTTAAATCTTAGTTCATAATATTTAGCTCATGATATGAAGAACTTTCTAGCAGTGAGGTTAAAATGTGTCATCAATTCTCTCCCATCTCCAGTTCAACTTTTCTATTTCAATGCAATTTTTACCAGAATGCTGGAATACAATTTTAAAATATCTTTGCTGGCCCCAATAGCACATACTCTATTTCTTTACTTTCCCAACTCTTTTCAACCACCAAGGCTAAGCTCTGTCTGGTGAGTAGGTTGTGAGCTTATCCTTAAACTACAGAGTATGTCTAACATTTCTAATCACGAGTATTTTACACGCTTTACTGAGTTTCTGACACTAGTTCTCAAAATTTATCAGTATGCTTTATGGGTATAAATCTATAGCAAATATATATATAATAAACTTTGATATGCTTCTAATCATTTTAATAACTTTTTTGTTATATTAAATTCTATAATAATCTACCCAAACTCCCACCATTCACTTCTAAGGTAACCAATTGTAATGACTTCATTACATAAACATACATCTAAACTTAAATGCAGATAATGGATAATAAATTTTTCAAATTTATCCAACTCATTTTCCTACTTCAGGTGAGTAAAATTTTTTATTTCACAGCAGATAATTTACCTATAAATTTCTATGTTATGTTATCTGTGATCACAACCAGTAAATTATATATTTTAGGGATGAGGGGCACTGACTCTCATCACAAGGGAGCTATTATAATGATTAATTTAATTATATTGAATTATACCCCAAGGTTAGTACTATGGCTCATGATTTGGGTTATTTATACTCAAACCTGAGATGAAAATGTATGTGAAGAACAATGAGGTAGAAACGTTTTTTGTTGAGTAGAAAAAATATATATACCGATGGCATATTGGAATATATATCAGATAACCAAAACATGTAAGGATGTCTGTAATTTTAAAGGAATGTAAATTTTACTCTGGGCTCAATGGTACATTACAGCAAATAAAAAGAGTAATAAAATATTACTGCTTATATAAAAGTACCCAAGAAGTTTCCTGGATGCATGAAATGGAGAGGAGGTTTTTGTCAGAACAATGGTGTAAGCAATGGTACCAGAACAGGACAGTCAGAATTTCCAGAGAATTCTCAGGAGAGTCATCAGTATTGTGAACGTAGGCTATAATATACCAAAGAATAAGATGTGGGGCATGTATGTACAGGTAGAACATATTTTCATTTGTTAGGTATTTATGGTGTCCTTTCTGTAGTTTTGATAAAGAAATGAAAAGGTCCCTAACAAAGGGGTTGAGTACAGCGAGGAGAAAACAATGGAAAAATAATTGCAATACAGTGTGTGGATGCTATAAAAGGTATATAAATAAGGTGCTATGGCAAGTTTAAAGAGTAAGTGCCTTTAGCAGAGAAGGTGCCAGAGCAAATAATGCATAGATGTACTTGCAGTTTGAGTAAGAATGAGAAGATAAAAGGGAAAAAAGGTCCATCAGGCAATGGGAAGATAGGGTACAGAAGGCTGGAGGATGCAGCCCATTCAGAGAATGCACAGGCATGAGTCAGTCTGCACAGCAGATCGGGGTCCAAGGAGGAAGAGTGATGCCCGGCACACCTGAGGCTGACTCTAAGTGCATCGAAGGGTGGGAGTAGGTGGTGCCAGTAGGATTCTGTAGTCACTCTGTCATTAAATGAAATTTCAGGTAGTGTGATTACTTTGCATATTTGTCCTCCACTGCCCTAAAATTAAGAGCCACAAATAGTTATTTGAATCCCTCTCTGAACCAAGAAGTCATTTCGGTTTTTATGATTTTTATTTCTTTTAACATCTAAGAAAAGAAAGTGGTAACTATTTTGAAACATCTACAGACACTGCAGTAAATTGTCTTTTATTCATTTAGGAGTATCTGAACAAAGTCTACCTTGGTAGCACTAATTTGCTACCATGGTTTTTAAATATCATAGGGATTTTTCTTATTTAAGGAAATCTATTTACCCTAACAATGGAACCAGTATGCCTATCAGTATATGACCTTTCATAAGAAAGTATTTTGTTCCCTATGAAATCTGAAAAAGAATGGAGCAGTATAACAGACAAAAGAGTGTAGCACTCACCTTCTACACTCTCTGTTCTCTCAACTTTACTTATATCTTCAAATCCCTGCATGGATCCTAGATCTTTATCCATTCTTTCTTTAACCAAAGCCAGAGTGTCTCGGGAAGTGCCTTCTACGTCTCTTTCATGTTCACTCTCCAATTTTGCTTCACTGCGTTTTACAGACTCTACTTGAGAAGAAGTCTCAAAAATTCTGTCTCTATCTCTGTCCCTTTCCACAGAATCAGAAATTAGCCTCTCTCTCTCCCTGTCCAAATCTCTCCTTTTGTCTCGTTCTCTCTCTCGTTCCCGTAACCTGTCCCGGTCCCTGTTCCGTGGCCAGTCTTTATCAGCATCTCGGTCCCATTCTCTCTGCCTTGTGTCTCTCCTCTCTCTCTCCCGCTCTCTGTCATGCTCATATCGATCCCGTTCTTGAAGCCTATCTCTACTATCAAACGACCCGGATCTTGAATGGACCTGTCGATCCGACTCAGGGGAACTTCTTCTTGAACTATGGCTTCTTGAATCCTGCCGATCTAAAATACACAGAGTTAACATGTGATAAAACAGAAAATAAAATGCTTCATCTAAGGGTTCTTTCAAAGTTACAGTTTACCTTTTTCTATATCTCCCAATTATCCAAGTAATTAATTTTAAGGAAAAACTGGATCTCTCTCAAAGTGCTAGTTAAATATGTAAAAAGTGTGTTTCCCTGTCTAGTGCTACTATAATCACAAAGTATCTTCAAAGAGATAAGTACATGAAATGGTTAAGCATTAACAGTACTTATTTCATTATCTGATCTCTTCCTATCTCCCCACCTTATTTTCTGTGGTCAAAAGAGAAAGCATTGGCTGCAGGAAGAAAAGCAGGAAGGTTAAAATTTTAGGCATCAATAAGGGACTTGAGTATACAAGCCCTTCCACCAAGATATACTACTATAATCCTGTTATTAAAACCGACTGACATCATTGAATGTACCTCTGTTATAATGTTGGTATTAATATGGTAACAGGTAACATTTTAGTGGGATGCTTAAGCTTTTAAGTTCCTTGAAATTAAGGCAGAGTATAAGTAAACAATTTAGCATTTACTTTAAAATTATAGTTTGTATAAAATATAAAGTTGCATAAAGTACACTAACATAGGAAACACTGGCTAGATTATAATTCAATTTTATTACCTGAAGAAGTACTTCGACTGGGTTCTCCACGCTTTAACTGATCAATCCTAGATTTTCTCTCTCCTGTCATTTCTAGACTTTTTATTTTCTCTCTGTCTCTTGAACCACTATGCAGTACTCTCCTCCTACCACTCTGGTCATCTCCACTTCGGTGAGCAGAATCATTGGAGGGAGAGCGCAGACGACCAGATGTGTGACTACGATTACTCCGATTGCTCCCAAGGCTGCTACTCCTCTTCTGGTCCATGGGCTTGCGATGTGGTGCATCTTCTATAGTAACGTGAGGCGTGTCTACTTTTTCTGCTCGTGCTCTGTGACATTTCCTATATGAGTCTTCACTGGTGAATGTGGTACTGGTGTTGGGGGCAGTGGCAGAGGTGGAGATAGAGGTAGATGTGCAGAAGGTGGCGACAGCAGTAAGAGCAGCAGGACCCGTGGCAGCCACAGGAGGAGGGGGAGGAGCAAGGGAAGACGGAGAAGGAGTCCTTCCAGGAGTAGCTCCTGCGGCAGCGTGCTCTGATTCTGTCCCCTCTGCACGGTCAGGCACGTCCTCATCAGACCAGTCGCTGAATGCCGTATCTTCTTTTTTCTGAGAATCCTCTATAGTGCTGTCCTTATCATTGGAAATTCCAACCAATTCTGCTTTGGTTGTTACAGGGGGAGTCCGTGGGCCCCTTTTCTTCTTACTCTGTTGGGCTGCCTCTTCATCAGAAATATCAGAATCACCCTTGGACCTTTTACGTTTTTTTTCAACACTTTTCTTCTTCTGTGCTTTTTTTGGTGAAAACACTTGACCATCTTCAGATGCTATCTCTGTGTTACACCTCTCTATTCCCATATCATCCTCTTTCTTTTTCTTAATAGGTTTCTTCTGAATTTTTCCTTTTTTCTTGTTTTCATCATGAGCTCGGTCAGATGTGTCTCGATCTTCTGATGGACGGTGTCCTATCATGTCCTGGGCACGAGTTCTTGAGCTTTCCATGATTTCTGTCTGTTCTCTCTGCTTATCTATAGAAGAAACTTTCTCCTTGAGCTCTTGCTCTTCATAGCGCCTTGAACTCTCTTTTCTTTCTAGTTTACGATCTTCCTCTTTCCATCTACCCTGTCTGTCTTCTGTAAGGTGTGATGGACTGAGAGAACGAGATTCTTGGGGTCGAACAACCTGGCTCAAGAGTCTATGTTTTTCATCTATACAAAGAGATAAAAGTAATTCTACTTAACCTTGTTACACCTTCACAAGGTTAACAACATTGCATGTTACATATAAATAATAATAAACCAATCTCTCAATTTTCATTTTAAAACTTTAAAAATGGCAGTAATTTCAGTAAAAATAAAAATACAGCTTTGTTACAAATAGCAGAAAATGACAGTGCCATTATGATAAAATAACTATTTCTAATACATACATTGGTCATAAAGGAGCTACTCCGAGGTATTTGAGCAGGATAAACTTTAAATCTTAATTATTTCCTACTTATGTCAAAGAATGGCCTCATGGTTACTAAGGAATATGAATATAGAGACACAGTAAATAGATTCTGCTTACTTTTATCATCTCCACTGTTGTAGGTGTCACTGTCAGGAGAATGTTCTCGTCGGCGCTTAGGTGACTGCCGAGGGCTAGGACTCCCTTCATTTCTATAGCGCTTCCTAAACCGGGCAAATGTAATTTATGATATTCCAGGGTATGAGCAAGATTACTTGACTATGTTTTTACTATTATCTTTTTACTATAAAACTAGAATATATAATTGTAGGATAGCAATATTATCAGAGCTATATCATACAAAGGTATTCAGCATCTTTTAAAATTCATTTGTTAAGACTTAAAATTGTGGACTTAAAATACATGACAACATCTCTTCCTTTTTTCATTAGACATGTAGAATCACTCAACTGAAAATCACCAGATTTAATTACTACAAGGTGGTACAGCAGAGGAATCAATATATTATATTAATGCACCCTCTACTAAAACTTCCTAATTTTACAGTTTTATGATATAGAAATACCTTATTTTAGGAAGACATGAGATAATCTAGTTTTGGATTCAAAAAGACATGAATTCATTTTATAGCCATGTTACTTATTATGCAACTTACCTAAGTTCCTTAAAGTGACTAAACCTTAAGCTTTCTCGTCTGAGAATGTGTGGGGGGAGGGGAAGTAAGGGTCCATCTCATACAATTGCAATGAGGAGTAAATTAAGTCATAAGCCCAATGAGCCATGCTGTGGACATACCGTGAAAATCAGTCCCTTCTCTTCTTGGAACAAAACCACTTGCTTGGTGACAAAATAATCAAATAATTCATGTTCACTATATTTCTTATTCTTTAGTTGAACTTTAAATGATTAGATATTTATATCCCTGGGTACTTATGTTTTCCTATATTTTAATTAAGTTTTGATGACTTTTTAAAAAAACTAATACTATGGTCAGAAGTAGAGAAACATACTGCAGTCCACTTATCTCCTTGATAGTCGTTTATATAGATGAGCAGCCAGGTGGACAAGGAGGCCCAAGATGTAGTAGGACAACTCACTACATGCTTGGTGCACGCTTGTGCAATTCCCTATCCAAAGCTCCTGCTACCATTAGGCAGTCTTTTTCCCCATTCTCTGAATTGGGGCTGGCCCAATTACTTGCCAAGACAAGAAGATGCAGTGAAAACGACCCTGTGTAAATCTGGAGAGTTAAGACTCAAAAGGCCTTACACTTCCTCTTTTTGCTGCCTTGGTATGTTTCTACCATTACATGCAAAAGCAGAGTTAAGGCTACTGCAGGATGAGAGGTCACGTGAAGGAGAAATGAGATACCCTACCTAAAAGCCAGCACCAACTGCCAGATATGTGAATGAGGCCTCTTTGGGTCATCCAGACCCAGGTGAACTGCCAGATTGACTAGAGATGCCTAAGCGATCCCAAGTCAGATTACAGAAACACTATGCTGAGCCCAGCCGAAACTTCTAATACAAAGAATTGTGAACAAATAAACAGTTGTTGTTTTAAACTACTAACTNCATCCAGACCCAGGTGAACTGCCAGATTGACTAGAGATGCCTAAGCGATCCCAAGTCAGATTACAGAAACACTATGCTGAGCCCAGCCGAAACTTCTAATACAAAGAATTGTGAACAAATAAACAGTTGTTGTTTTAAACTACTAACTTCTCATGGGGTTTGATACACAGCAAGAGATAACTGGTATGCCAGAATAAAGTGAATTATTTAAAACATCCAAAGAAGAACTTTAATTTTAAGGAAATACTACTGAAATAAAATTAGAGTTAAAATTAATATGGAAGCAATTCAGCAAATCTTTTCCCTAACAGCAGTTAAAAAAAAATGCTGAATAAATTCAACTACTGAAATGATAATACAATTGATGAAAACATCAAGATATTAATTTCATATAACTTGTTACTGTTTAGAGCTGTTTGACTCCTAAATTTCTGGGTTCCTGGTCAGTGCTTGGATTATATAGCTACAAAACACCCAAAGAAACTTTTGCTACTACAAACAGAGATCAGAAGCATGGAAAAATATAATCAAAGCACAGGACTGGACAATAGATAAATAACAAACATTTTAGAATTTGAATCATAAAGGAGAGCTGAAGTAGGCAGAGAGAAGAGAAATAATATGTATTGTATGCCTACACGTGTTAAAGGTTATATCTGAATTTTATGTTAATGTAAGGTTTTTTTTTTAAAGCGGGATAAGGCAAGCCAGAGGGTGAACTGCAGAAAACTTTGGCTACAGATTGAAGGGAAGCCAAGGCCTTACAGAAGATGCCACCACTTCTGTGCTATATGGTCTTTGTTCGTAATCATAGTCCACCACAGCAATGATGAAAGCAGCCTAAAAGCAGAGAGCTGTATTCACCATGACACAAGCGAGCTACCGGAATTGGAGCACAGGAATTGGAGGTACATAAATTCAGTTTGTTTTGGCAAACTTAACCATACTTCTTCTTTGTTGGTATTTAAAAAGGAGAAGAAAAAAAATAAAGCAGTTAATTCCCAAGTTTGGTTGTGTGAATATGAAACCTCAAAATTGACCAATCCAAGTCCAGTATTCTCATGGCTTTAGTGATTGGCTTAGCTCCTCTGTCTACTCAGTTCAGAGAGCACTGGACAGAGAGGGCTGCTCAGGTGATGGGCATAACGTGGGGGGCCATCTTAGCCATCTTTTGGAGAAAACCTTTCTGAGATTGAACAGCACAGAAGAAAACAGTGGAGAGATGCAGACATACCATTTCTGATGCTTTGTCTGAGAATCTGGATATTCACATCAGAACAAATGAAACCTAACCCTGCACTACCTGAGCAAATGAATTCTTTTTGATGAGAGAGAGAGAGGAGAGAGGAAGAGAGAAGAAAGAAAAGGAGAAAATGCCCTCAGATATATGAGATAATAAGATCGTATCTTCTGACTCCAATAACCTACTGTAACTCCACAGTCCAAGAGAGGACACCTCCCTGTCATTCCCTAGCCATGCAGTGGTTACAGTAATTCCTTCAATTGTAAGGCACTGTGAATGCTGCCATAGCTTGGGGCAGTGACTCCAAACTTGTAAATGCAGAAAACTCATGAAGGGTCACCAGGAATAGCATAGGCAATATATATCTGTTGGTGACTAATCAACTCCGTTAATTAGTTATAAAGCGTATATTATAGGATAGAAGTTCACTGATTCTCTCTCTTTGAGGTTGGATTCCTATTAAAAGCAACCCTACAACAGTCGACCAAGCCAATGTGACTTCAAAAATGGCAAAGTAAACAAGAATGATTACTATCTCCTGGATAAAAAAGTAGAATTGGAAAATTATCATTTTTTCTAGATAATTCAGAAGATTTTAAACACCAAATAATACATAATAAAAATGAAATACAGGGCAATGTAGAGAGGATAAAGAATTAAGAGGACATCAGGGCACATGGAAAAGCTTTAAATGGAACGTTCAAATTCTTCACTGAAATTTAAGTCTAAAAACCCGATGTAACCATCCTTACTTGGCCCTCCTCTCGTCGTGGGCGTCCCTGGGGTTCCGGTCTTCGCGGGCGTCGTCCCGCCGCTCCCTGCGGTCGTCCCGCCCCCGGTCCCTGTCCTCCCACTCCCTGGGGCGCTCGCGCTCCCGCTCTCTGGCCCGCTCCCGCTCCCGCTCCCGCTCGCGCTCGCGCTCCCTCTCTTCCCGCTCGCGCTCCCGCTCCTTCTCCCGCTCCCGCTCCCGGTCATGGTCGCGCTCTCGCTCCCGCTCCCGCTCTCGTTCGCGCTCTCTTTCCTTCTCCCGCTCGCGCTCCCGCTCCCTGGCACGCTCTCTTTCAAGTTCCCTCTCCTTCTCCCGCTCCCGCTCCCTCTCCCGCTCCCGCTCTCTGTCCCTCTCCCGCTCGCGCTCCCGCTCCCGCTCTCTAGCGCGCTCATCTCTTCTGTCATCCACTCTGTCTACTCTTCGTTCCTCTCTTCTTTCATCGCGCTCAAGCTCGTCATTCCTTCCCTGATGACGAATTGGTGAGCTTGGTCTTTGATCTACAATGAAAACCAAGTTTTGTCAGTGATTAATTCGACAAAGATAACCTATTGGTAAGACAATATGGCAAATCTTGTATTTGATCTGTGTATAGGGTCACACTGGCAACAAATATAAATCAGGTATTACATTTACTTTTACTTTAAAAATCCAAATAATCACCCCTAGGTGTTCAGAATTTTTTTTCTTATGGGTAACTTTTATTTGCCCTCTAACATGTTTTCTGCTGCCCGTCAGACCCCCCACCTCCCACTGATCCATCTTTGATCTTTCTCTGCATGCTCCTTACCCTACTGCCAGCCCACTGCTCCAACCCCACTTTCTGCCATCTCTACCCTTCACCTCTGATCTTCTCTGTCCCCCCAGCAGGACCTGAGAACACTGGTGGCAAAGGATAGGGGCAGCAGGAGGTGTAGAACATAGGAGCTGAAGGAAAAAAAAAATTTCCCTCGTAAGTCACACCTCTTATTTCAGGCCAAAATATATACACATCAAAGTGCAGCTATTATATGAGGAAAATTATAGTAGAACGAAACATCTATCAGTATCTGTTGCTGCAGTATCAATTTATTATAAACAAGAAATATTAAAGGTACTGGTGCTTAGCAATCTTGTAATAATCAAAAGTAAAAGGTATTTTTGTATTAGTGATATATATTTATAATTAAAAACTATTAATTAAAAGCTTGATTTAATCATATTACTCAGATGAAGAGCTGTTTCTTAAAATTGATATCATCACATTATGTGTGTGTGTGTGTGTGTATATATATGTATGTTTTTTCCTTTTTCAATACATGAGTCATATAAATACAGAGAAAATGCACACTGCCAAATGCCCAGTTGAGCTGAAAATCAGTCTGGAGTCAAAAAATGTATAAGAAAATGGCCTGAACTTTTCCACAGAGACTATTTGCAAAAGTAGATCACTGTGGTAGGATCTATGCTACTGTGATGCTTCTATTTTCATATTACATATGTTTGTTGGTTAATTATAACGATGATACTACAAAATGTCCAACAGGTTTGCAACTGGAACAGCTAACATTACCTTATTAAGCAAAATAATTATAGGATATTTCTAGGAAAGGATGGGTTCAATATAGTAATTTGAATTTCCTTTCTTATCACAGATGAAAATTATAAAAATTATCCATATTTACTCTTTAGAGGTTATAGATTGATATAAAAGTTCTTAGAATTTTAAAGCCAAAACAAAACAAAACCTAGTCTAGCCCCTTTCCTCCTTTTCTTCTTAAAAACATAGAAATTATGTACCGGAACTTGACTTGGCAAAGCCACAGAAATGGTAGATATATTAGGACATCAGGACTAGAGGTCAGTTCACTTAAACCCTTTTTTACTTTTGCTGAAACCAAGTTAAATTTAAAATGGTTCAATTCTACTACAGTTTTTATTCCCAGAGTCTAAATACTCATGTCTTAGACTGCCTGATTTCATGGCTTGAGGGTTAAACTAATGTCACAATGAGTGCAAAACAACCTGAAATTCAATACTGCAACTTACAATAATTCATATTTGAAATTTATAGTTATAGCAAATGTCAGGGAATAAACTATTTTACTGAGACACTATATTTTAACAGGTATAACTCTATTTTCCCAATCAAAATGACAATGTTCTTTAAGTCAAAGGAAGTGGAAAGAGCATGAGAACACTCCACTTTACTATGTCTATTTTTCCTATCTTTTCCCAAAAATACGTCCTTTGAAGATGTGCTTTTCTTCATATATTTCTTTATCTTAATGAAAGACATACTGATTCATGGAAGCTGGAAATCTCTGTGTTATCCAAGTCCTATCATATTTAAGTACTATTAATTACACTCCCAAAATATTTCTTTATTCCATTTCCTCTCTCCATCCCTACAGTTAATATATTAACTCAGACTTTGATCAGCTCTTTTCAGATGTCTATGTCATCAACCGTCTAACTGATTGCTATCCTTGTCTTCAGTCTTTACCCAGACTTTTTTATACCTTTTTGATGAAAACTCATTTCCTCAGATGCTTAAAAGTAGTGAAAAAGTAATTAAATTCAAAACTTACAGCCTTATTATTAAGGCTGCTGACAGCCTGGCCTGTAGTCTGTCTCTCATTAATCCTCTCTTCTAGCTTCCTTCCTTTTCTACCAGAACAGCTTACCTCTACCTTAACCTCAATATTCTTTGCTACTCTGAAGCATATGTTTCTCTTAGTCCTGTGTATCTGCACATGCTGCACCCTCTCCCTGCAAAATGTTTCTTCCCTTGTTCCTTCTAGCATCCTTTTCAGGAAGCTTTCTTGGATTTCCTCAGAAGTCTGTTTGCTCCTTTGTCTTCTCACAGACTTTATGTAGTAGTAGCATGTCTCGTACTTCAATATTAGTTTGTGAAAAACTAAAGAGAAGGTTTAAATTCCTGGGTACAGAACAAGGTACCTGGGCACATCTCTACCTCAAACTCTATCAATGACCATATTGCTGACCATATTCCAATCACCCTGGGTCTTCTTTCAAACTCCAGGACATAGTAAGATATTTCTCATCTCAGGGAACTGGCACATACTCTCCCCTCTGCACAGAATATTTTTATCCTTAATCTCTGCAATGCTAGCTTCTTCTCTTGCATTTACACCTCTGCATAAATGTTATCTCTAATTTTTCATAAGCATTCCATCTAGATAAATAGGTACCTCTCTTACCCTTATTTCTGTATCCTTTCTTTGTTTCCTTGACTGCACTAAATAATCATTTCTTTTTTTTGCGGGGGGGGGGGGG